TAATGGCCATCTTACCAGTATCTATACTGAATATATATGAAGTGGACAGGGCTCCGCTTCTCCCCACTCTGGACCTAGCACGGTACAAAGAATATAGGCATGGAAATCCGAGATGCCTGCAATGCTCTGTTCTATATCCTATCAGCTGTACAACTTTAACAAATCTTCCTCTGAGCAGTTTTCTGATCACTGAATCAAGGACAAAATACCAACCTTACAGGATTAGGATAAGATTGAAATGCCTGGAAAATGGCACAGAAAAGTAACTGGCACCTGGGTCCAACAATCTGTAATTATTTTTGCTTCTACCACCCAACCCTGTAGTCCAGGCAGTTCCTAAATCCCATTTCTTAAATCTGCCTAGCGTCCTCCATTTTAATTGCCCTCTCACTTAGGCCTCTTGGCCTCCCTCCTGGACCATCACAGCCCCTTTACCGACCCCAAGCCGCTCCACACACCAACAGCAGACAAGGCTCCCACAGGAGAGAGTCTATTGTTACTCTCCTGACAAAACTCTTCAACTGCTCCACAATGACTCAGGATTAAGTTTGAATGGTTCAGTTATATGGTATTCCCGGTCCTCCCAGATCTGACATCAGCAGATCTTTGCTGTCCTATTGTGTCATTAGTCATTTTTACACATGCAGTTGCCCAGCAACAACGAATCAGCTACTGCCCACTCTGTACACTGGTATTTCCCACCCCTCTCTTTGCCTTTGCTTATGTTTCCTTGAACCTGGACCTCTCCCTCTAAATCCTGAAGTCCAATACTACCTTTTTTTCAAGGGCTGGCTCAATTTCCCTTTAATCCAGGAAGGATTTCTTGATCACCCCAGCCACAGAAAATCTCTTTTTTCTACCAATCTGTAATGTGTTTCTCTATGTTAGTACATTTATGTCACTCTCTCCATTTATTCTAATTTTATCTGTGCACAGAACCTTACTCTAAGCTCTTCAAGGGCAGCATCATTTCCAGACCCAAGCTATCATGCTCAGGCAAAGCAGCCAGGAAATGGCACTTTAATGTACAGACCTACAGAGTCCTACTCAGGAGTGTCGGCATCCGGGGTCTGCAGGCGGTCAGCTCAGCTTCTGATCAGCTCCTAGAGTAGTGTTAAGCATAGAGTGACACTCCACAAATAAATGTTAAATGAACTTCCCCACAAGGCGGATCAACTATTGTCTATAGGACAGAACGTCTATCCCAGTGAAATAAAACACAAAAGAAGATGTGAAGCCTTTTTTCTCCCACAATATATATATATTTAGAAATGCAGGCAATCTTCAAGCTCACTATCTTCCACAAGCAATACAGCTATTCTTATCAATAAATATGGCATATAATGCTTTGGTATATTTGGTATGTCAAAAGTACCCAATTTTAACATGTAAATAAGAATCATTCTTCAAAATAATCTCCTTTGGAGAATACAGAGGTATTCTAACAACATCCATAACCTTTTATAAACCTCAACTTTTTGAGAGCCACAACTTCCTTTGGTTAAAATAAAAGTCTTACATAGAATGAATATCTTTTCTCATTTGGCTTTGAACTGGCTGAGAATAAAAGAATTTCAGAAATAATTCTAGAATGAACTCCAATCTCCGCATGATTTCTCAGGGCTTTCATTTCCAAAATTCTATCATGTAAGCCACTTTATAAGTCATGTGGCTTATACAACAATTCTCATTTTTCTATGAAATTTTATTTTAATGGCCCTTTGGGCTCTAGCAACACCACATGTAACTCTGCTATAGTACTTGCAATTTGTAGTGTTACATCTTTAAATTTCATTTCTCTTTCTCAACTTTGTTTTCCTGGAGGGCCAGGTCCGTGGTGTACTCATTTTTGAATCTGCAGTACTGACTCTGGAAGGTGGTAGGTGTCTCATGTCACAGGTGATTCATGCTTACATGGATCAATGACTGAAGTCAGTTATTCGATTGAATTTAACTACTGGTTCCTTCCTATACTCACACAGGACAGAGAATATTAACACCTGTGAATAGTTTAGAAAGGATGGAAGGATTGTAGGCAATGGCAAACAAAAAGTTCTAAATGTGCCCTTGGCAAAGATGGCGCCACTGTAGCAAAAGTTTCATTCCTCCTGGCTAACCCAATTCTTTATGCAGGCAACATTCATTTGCATGTCTATGTGAGTTAAAATAAAATCACATTACTTCAGAGTCACACTTTATGGATGTGCTTCGTTTGTTTATTCAGTCCCCTGAAATAAATACTGATGGGTCAAACCGAATTAGGTTAAATCACACATTAAAGAGGATTGTTAACAAAGGACCTAGTTGAATATCTAAAATTGTTACATGAAAAAGCCAAAAAGATCTGCCTGTTCAGCACTGCGTACCCTTCAGTGATTAGGAAGTGATCCACTTTTCAGGTATGATCCAGTCCTACCAATAGACATCAGTGTCTCCAGAATCTACACACTGCTCTTCCCAGACTGATCAAAGAAACACATCTATGTTTCCAAGAAAGTTCATTACAAGTGGATGACAACTTTGAGAAAAACTCTAAATAAAATTATAGACATGACTCTCACATTTGACATGTGACTCAAACATGACTCAAACATATTGTTATGGGCATAAGAAACACATTTTCATTTAACAGTTGTAAAAACCAGCATATTCTGGGAAGTCCATATCTAATGACTGGGGGGCTAAATAGAGTGTGTAAGGACCAAATCTTTTTAGATGACTGCTGAGAATTTGACTAAATATATAAGACATGAAAACAGAAATAACCAAAGATTTTAGAATTTTTCAGTTACAGTACAGTTTTTATCAAAGACAGAAAACAGTTCACATTCTCTTGAATCTAAAAGCAGCATGTAGTTGTTCTACCAGTAGAAGCTGAAGAAAGCAAGCTCAGTCATTCTGCGAGAGTCCTCGCCATTTCAAAAGCAGTTAAACCATGACCCCAAACTAACTAAATTCTCTGGCAATCTATTCTCAGAAGAAGGGGGTGAAAAGGCTTGGTGCTTAACTGAAGGATAAACAATGTAAATTATTTCAGTAATTGGCCCAAGAAGCTGCAGCAGACCACTGAGTGAACGACTTGGGGCATCTGTTAATGTCCTTGTCTATGACTTCCCTTGAGATGAACGTGTATATCATAGTTAACAGGCGCCCTTGATTTTTATAAGAATACTCCTGTACATCCCCACTGGAGAGCTACATGCTGCCATCTTTTGATCATGCCCAGTAGAGTGTAGAAGTTTTTTTATGGAAAAGCAAGATCAGTAAAAGTAAAATGCCCCACATTTCCTGTCAGAAGTGCCCTCAGTAACAAAAAGGGCAAAGACACCAACAGAGAGATTACAGTCCTCTCAGACATCATAAAGCAGGTAGATTCTAAATGGATAAGTGCGTGTTATACTTTTTTTGCAAGTGTGTTGCATGCTTATGTTACTATTTATTCTGAGACAGACTGATCATCAATGACCTTCTGGGTCACTGACTAGGGAAAAAGCTGACTATAAAAAAGAGTGGGAGAAAAATACGGGGGGGGGGGAGGGTTGCTTCCTTCCCCCCAGACCCCCTACTGCCTTGAGTGAAAGCAGACAGATGGCAGCCACCTTCCCCTTTAATTAGGAGGGGCAGCTCAGAAGGGGACAGCTCTGCTCACTTGGCACCATCTTTGACAAACCGTACTGATGGCTCTGCTTATTCACCCTTATTTCAAACTGTCCTCAACCTTTAATTTGTAAACTGAATCTCTGTACATTTAATTGTGAAAACTACAGCTCTGAGCAAAACACTACGCATAAAGAAAGCACTTGAAGATGTCTCCTGAATGAATAATTCACGGACATTCATACAGGGAGTCTGGAGTGTTTCAGATGAAATACAGACACCGCCAGTCTTCCCACATCACTTTGGGATAAAATGTGAATTCCCATGGCACAGAAGCCCTAACTCGAACTCACAGTATCCCATACTTGATGTAGAAGACCAAACCCTGATTTTTGCTTTCCAGTGCTGTACTACAATCGCGCTGCCTGCTTCTATCTTTACAGTGTGTTTCTGTTTAAGTTGAGAGAAGTCAAGAAAACTCTACATTAAAACAGTCCATTTTATGAGGAAGGATAATTTAATTAGAAATCACAAGACAGTCTGCATTTCTATTTGTTCTCCATTTTCAGAAACACAGAAATTTGTATTAAAAATTTATCAAGCCATGCAACATCTCCGAAGACAGGATCAGCATTAGAAACAAAAACAGAAGACAGGGGCCAAGTGTCAGAATTAGGCTGGTGTCAGAGAATCTCTGTATAGGTCATGAAGCCTCTAAATTATTCTCTGGAAGCTATTAAATACATCTTCTATAAATCTACAAGACATGAACCTTTCTAACATGAAGGGAAAGTTCAGTTTCTGTTGACAATGTTAGGTCTTTATACATCTGTCTCATTTTTATATTAAATCTTTTTTCCCCCTAAACATTACAAAGTAATTTGTATTCCTCAGCTCCTTCCCATTTCCTGACTGGTTTTTAAATTACAGCCTCTTGGTCCAGGGGCCATTCCCACCTAGTTTCTGCAGTTCCCACAAGGGGACTCTGTCTTCATACTCATCTCATGCCCACACCCTTCCGGCTTCCCAGTGGCTGTCAGGGCAGTGGGCTGGGGCTGTTTTGCTAGGTGTACTTCTGGCTGCACCACATAAAAACCTGGTCCCTATCATTGTCGCTTAATTAATGTCAAAGTCCTTGGACCTTTTTTTAAAAAAGGAACTTCTTGTTTCCTCACTGATTATAAATTTCAGTCTCTTACTATTTCTAACGAACAAGCCAGCACATTAGATACAGGAAGACAGAAAAGATAAAAGAAGCAATTAGCTATTTAACAAACTTCATATCCTGCTTCCCAATGAGGGGGAAAGAGACTTGGCACCTGCCCGATACTGAATGTCTAATAATGTTAGCAAGAAAAAACATGTAGGAGAGACTGACTAACAAAGAAACAAACAAAACTTACTTTGTTTTCCAGCACAGTAAGCAGGTTGGGGGTGAGATGAGGGTAATTCCTTCCTCGAGGCCCCTACTTTCGCTTTGAAAAAGCTGTGTCTGTGCTTGCATCCATGTTTGCTGTGGAACTCCACAAAGTGCTTGCACTTCTCAAGACACCCCAGGTTCACAGTTCACCTCAGAAGCCGAGGATCAGGAACCCCCAGGCCAGAACTGCAGTGACCTCTGGGTGCCACGTGGCACTGCTGCTGTTGTTAGCACACACGCACGCTCAGGACACACACGTTACCTCAGGAGCCAGGCCACCAGCAGACTGCCTGCCACTCGGATGAGCGTCCAGAGTCTCGAGCCTCTCGCATTCTCAGGTTCAAGGTTGGAAAATGCATTAAGACGAGAACCCGCAGTCAGCAGTACTCTGCGCCATGTACTTTTCTGGTACTTAAATGCCTATCTAAATAAAAGTAAAAGGTACAGAATTACAAAGAATATTTTACTAGTGATTGTCTCTGGCATCTGCTGTGTACTGGGTCACATCTTTCTCTCTAAAACTGCATTTAAGAATCCTAAATTTTCATTTCTCCTGTGAAACCTACAGAAAATCAATAAAAAACAGAGAAAAAGTATAATTCTACTTAAAAATGTAGCCCTTACTAAATCTCATCTGGTTAATTCTTTAAAATCCAAAAAGTAAAAACAACCACCACCCATATAAATTTGATGTTTGTTTTGAACATTACTTCATCTATGTACTGTCCTGCTCATAAAAACAAGCCTTCTTCCAGCAAAACGGGACACTTTGACCTTGTTTACTGCAGTGTTTTGAAACCGCTGTCTCGTAACTCCTGACATCACTGCATGGGCACCTCACTGCTGCTGGCTGCACATGCTGCTACCCCGACATCTTCCATCGCCCCTGGCTGAACAAATACTCCACAGAACTGTAAGGATACTGGCCTTAGCGTTAAACCCACTGGACTCACAATACCTTCTGTAAATGTCACATCTCATATCTGATCACTTCTACAAGAAAATAAAAGCATCAAACATCTGATACTTTTTCAAGTCCCACACCCAGACCTAGTACAGACCATTCTTTCTTCTGACCCTCTCCCTGCCCAAGAGAAGGGTTTCCTTTCTCACAGACTGCTATACTGGCAAGAGTTTCTGCCACAGAGCTTTACTAATAGAAGATCCTGATCTACATCCTCCCAATAAAAAATGCCCAGAAGCTATCCTAGGGGATAATTTATTTTAGCATGTTTTAGACTTTTAGAAAGAGTATTATCACATTTTTAATTTTGATAAAGAGAGATTTATCCATTTTTTTTCTTTTGTGAAACATGCTTTTGGTGTCGTATCTAAGTGTGCATTTTTAAAGAAATCATTTTCCCCTATAAGTTTGACACATTTCCCTTCAATGTTCCTCAAACCTTATTCAAGATACACCAGAATCAAAGTAAAGATTGTTGTAACCCCTGGAGGCAAGTCACAATTAAATTTCTGGGAATATCTCCCATAACTCACCTCTTTAAATAAAATTAAATTCTGGTCCTGCAGTGGTAGTTCAATTTTACAGAGAAGCATAAAAACCCAAGTTAAACCTATCTGAAGTCAATTGGTAACATTCTTGTTCCTTTCCTGAAACAACTTACAAAACACTGAGTCTTTGAACTACAGTCACCATTAAATTATACAAAATACATATTTGAGCAATTACGGCCCTTGTTTGTCAAAGAGGAGTAAAAAAAAAAACATCCAGAGTTAACAAAATGAATTAACTCTAGCTAAAGAACTACTTATAAAGACTGTCCAAACATCATGCTGTTACTATGACAACTTCAAAATTGCTTGAGAAAATGTGAGAAATTTTAAGATCCATTATAAAACAAGTGTCACCCAGCCTGCTAGAAATTACTTTTGTTTATATCAGGCAGTAGACGAGCTAAATGGCCATTTACAATTCTGAGATATCAAGTTGTTACCTTTTCAGAGATGCTGTACTCTTCGTTCAGGTCATGAAAAGAGTAGTAAGTAAATGAACAGCTCTCTCAGTCATCGGAACCATTTTGATTTCAGTCCTGCAACTATACCACTCCCACGGTCTATTTAGTTGGTACATTATTTTTATAATGAAAGCAAAGTCTGATTCAATCCGAAAGGGAAGGGACAAAAAATCCCTAACAGTCTCTCGTTTCCAAGTACAAATAGGTGAGAACACACTCCAAGTTTTAGGCATCAATAATGAAACAGAAAAAGAAAACACATTTTTCTCTTAAAATTCCTGCTCTTAAGTATTTAGACTGATTTACACTTTATGTAATCCTGATGGCTCAATCAGGAAGTGAAAATTTTAAGTGCGTGTGTTATGCACAGTAGGAATCATGTGACCCAGAGCAAAGGAAATTATGCAGTAGACCAGCATACTAAGAAAAACTTACCAGCGGTTTAAAAATACTGCCTTTCGAATTCATCAAGCCATGAAAATACCATGGCTTTTGAGAAACAGTAATTTGTTTGGAAGCCTTGAAAATAAGCCCTCAGGACATTATAAAAAAATTATGAGATCAAAGCAATGCACAGTGAGAAATGAAAGTTTAATTACTAAAGGAACTGTTTCCCTGAAGATCGTATCCATTCAAGGTTTATTTTTAAAGGCTATTTTTCAATGTTATTTGAAGATCAGGTGCCATGTGTAATCAATTGTAATCAAAGTAAACATCGATTGCAGCAACGTATAAATACGTATATTTTATTTAATATGTAATACTGTGTTCCTGGAGCACAAAGATTTATCTGGACTCCACATAAGTTCTATAGATTTCAAGTGGTCCCTGTATCTTATTACAGCAAATACGTCAAGAGGACAATGTCAATGCCACAGAAATTTTCATCTGAGATATCAAAGCTTGTAACAGGGCCATTATTAAATAGTATCAGATTTATCCTTGTGTGATATGTAAGTTATGCCACAGATATCAGACCATGCTCACCCACTCTGGAAATCAAAAAGGGAACGACTGTTAAAACACTTCAGTAAGTATAAGAGATTGACATATGACTTTAGAAAAGCAGTACAGAAAATGTTTCAAGTAGTTTTTATGTAATAAAATACAGTATGTTAATATCAACATATTTTGAAATTCAAAAGGTTTGTCCTATGGCTGTTTTGTTTTTCAATGTGATTTCTGTTATTAATGGTAAGAAATAATTTATTAATACCAGTAATAAACAATTAAAATGACTAAGAATAGGTATTTGTGTCTCATAGTTATTACTTTTGTCACTTTAATGCTTTGTATGTTCAAAATGGTTTTCATATTTTTATTTTAGCCTTTTAAAAAATTTATACCACAGCTCTGGACACATGGCAGACAAAAATTAGTTCTGGGTAATTTTGACTACTAGCTCTTAAACATAAGAGTTAATGAGGCAAAAGAATGAAAGAAATTATTAGGCAGGACAGAAGTCATTCATAAGGGAAGCTAGAACAGTTAGGAAAGGTAAGAAGCACAAATTCTCCAAGGCAGAGCATTAAATAACATTGTGGTCATCTTATTAATCTTGGCATCATACTGGTTGACAATTAACAAAAGATGAACTAGTAACCAAGAAATGTCCCCAACAGATTCACAGCACAACCTAGTCTGTCACTTGCCTAGACCATAATTGAAACTAAATCTCAGAAAGTACATATCTCAACTCTCTAATTTGATAAATCAGGAAATTAGAGAATTTAAGAGACTTTCCTATGTTACAGAGATAGTTCACTGACAGCTAAAATGGGACCCTAAATTTCTGACTCTCCTAGCATAGGGCTCTTTCTCAGTATGTGCTGCCTAACATCTACAACCTGAGGTTTAACCAAGTCTCCCATCAGCTAAGCCCTGGTCCCTTATCTTAGTTGTGGATAACTGAAATAGGGTCAAGACAGGAGGGACTCACTCGACCACCTAGTCCCTACCCTTACAGCTCCTCTGACCTTTATTACTGCTGCTGTCTCCGTCTCCCACCAACCTGGGCTGAACATACTTTCTGAACTGGGAAGAGACAGGCCAAGTTCTGGGCTGAGGGGTAAAGCTTGAGATGGTATCAGTCCATCTTCCCAGCGCCTCCCTTCCACAAGTGTATCACAGCCTCCTCATTTTTTCCAGTGGGAAAATCAAGGCACTAAAATAAGGGAAAATACTTGTTTTGGTTCACATCACAGCTTTACTGGGATTCTGGACAAGCATGAGATCAAGATAATAGTCTAGAAAATATAAAATTAGCTCCTCCTTTATAACCTTCATCAAAATTAATTCTGTAAAAGGAAAAAAGAGAAAACAAGTAGGAGAAAGTATTTCTTAATTTGGGGTAGAAAAGAAGTTTTAGCTTTATGAAAGCAATAAAAAAAGCAACAAGAGGCAAGGCAATCTGGTTCATTCTGACTACATTAAAATGCAAAAGCCCTGTCCATTCAGAAGCAGCAGACAAAACTGAAAGGTAGGTAAAAAAAAATAAAACACTGGAAAGAGGATACTTTATTTTGTCTTATATTTTTGTATATTTTATATTATTTATAACTGTATAAGGTAAGAGGTATTAACAAACTATTCGCCCCAAAATAAAAAAGGCCAACATGAGAAAGTGTTCAATTTCACTAGCAAACACCAAGATTTTTTTAAACAAATTCACAAAGATGGACAACAAAAAGAGTAAACCTAGTGAAGGGAAATGAGACAAGCATTTCACGATATCAGTATCTTCTTATAAGCCTTAAAACTGTCTTGACTCATAATATATCTTTACATATCTCCTAAAGAAACAACCATAGATATCACAGGAAGACAGTACAAGGACATATTTACAACAACGTGAAACTGGGAACAAAACTTCCAAAAGTAGAGGGGAGCATGTGACTAAATAAATTATAGTAAATTCACATGTTTAAGTAGCATTTTTTGTAGAATACTTCATGATGTTGGAAATCACAAAATACTGCGTTAGGTGAAAATGCTGGATATAAAATTGTTTATAAATATGGTATCAATGCTGCGAGGAAAGAAAGAAAATTAGGAAGGGGAGAGGGAGGGAGAGGGACAGACAAAGGTGAAAGGGGTGGGTGGAGATGCTGATCTCTAAAAGAGAATGGAAAAGAATACATTGAAAAAGCTTAAAAGGAGCACACAGGGCATTTATAGACTTTGTTACTTCTTTACAATACTGAGATATTTGACATTTTCTGTAAGAAACATTATTTTTGTAATTTCAAAATATTATTTAAGCTAATTAATACCCTATATTTCGCAGTCATATAATTAAAATATTTAAACAAAAGAATGCTTATACTTTATTACATATAAAAAGTAATGCAACACAGTGTTATCTTAAATATGCAAACATTCACATTAAGACCAGGAGAATATGCATTAAGATGTTAACAGTGGTTGTCTAAACATAGTGCAATAGTAT